ATTTATTTTCAACATGTTAAATTTTAAAATATTTTACAAATTTAATTAGAATGATATAAGTTCCCAATTTTTGATTTAATGCTATAATTTCTTGTCATTTGCTTTCAAATTATAGTTTATATGAAAGCCTTAAGAAGTAATATATATAACAGCGAAAGTTGTAGACATTTTTTGGCAATCTATGACATTAATTCTCATATAAGCCAAAAGCTTATTAATCGTTTTTCTGAAAATATTTTAAATAATGTTATCATTATTTTATTTATAAACATTATTCTAATACTCACAACATCTAAAATAAAAGATTTCTTACATAACAATACATTACAATCAATATATGGATAGTGTTTTGCTAACATTTTTAGTAATAAAACTCGTATTTATATTCAATCCAGTCATCTATAAAATAATTGTGTTTTTATATCATTCTAATTAAATTTGTAAAATATTTTAAAATTTAACATGTTAAAAATAAATGTAAAGTACAAAAATCGATATTAGATTATATTAAACAAGTTTAAAAGCATTAAGTGGTGCAAAAATATAGGACACAATTTATGACTGATTTTTGAGTGAATACTTTTCAAATGTCAGTCAATATTTGAAAGCTAATAGAATTCATTGATTCAATTCACACACATTTCGGGGATTTTCTTCTAAACTATCGTTATATAAATGGATAATAAACTTATTTTTCTCTCTTAAAGGCATTAAATTTGCGTTAAATGACTCAAATCAGTGCCAAACAGTTGGTTTTTTTGTCGATTCTATATATTTCTTACACTTATTTTCGAAATCACTTTAAATTTATAAATAAATTATTCTTTTGCCCTAAATTTCTTGTAATATTCTGTTTAAACAAAACAGTTCTAAAAACATATATTTTTTCATTTCATTAGTGAAATCATTGAATGCATTATTAAATTTAAGAAATTTATTTCCATTACACACAGTCTTCAGTAAAATAATAATATTTTGTTTAAATTTAACAAAATCACTCATTAAGCTCAATAGAAACTGTACTGACACGTGGCATCAAGCTAAATATTTTATATCCTTACTTATATTAGCTATTATTTAGTAAATACATAATTGTATATTAATTATCTATGTACATTTTAGGTGTAGTTTACCATCATTGGCCAAACGACACGTGGCAATCGCACGCCTGAAACACGCGGCAAATATGGGCCGAAACTCACATGAAGTTCGCTTTTTTATTCTTGTGGTCACTCCAAGCAAAGAGGTTTGAAAATTATCATTCAATTCATATTTAATTATAGTCTATATCGAGAAATAGACCTCAAATTAATTAGAAAACATAATTAAGTTATAATTGACACGAGATTTATTTTGAATAAAATCTTATATTAAATGCATTAATAAATTGTATGTAATGTTGTGTTGAGAACAGAAGGGAACGAAGAATGCGTTAGAAACGGGCCGAACGTTCGCCACGATATTCGCGGACATGGATTTCAGGCAACGGCTGCTCGACGTTCACGGAGAGCCTGAGTTTAAGGGCATTCTTCTGAAACACGCACAGGACTTGGCATCCGAGCAAAGCAACCCAACCCGACGACTAGGCAATCACGAACCCGACCTTGAATTTGAGGTCAGTTCCAGCTCTCTCTCTCTCTCTCTCTCTCTCTCTCTCTCTAATTTTGTGTTTCAAATAAATAAATCCCCGAAACCTTTCGTTCCGTAACCAATCTTATAGACATTTTGTGTCCTCATCTCATATCTCATGCTTTGTTTGTCTAACGAAGTGATGAGCAAATTGTGGCGGAAATTGTTTTTTAGGTCACATTTGTTACTATCCGTTGCGATCATATCAATCACACGCTTTGAAATTCAATTATAATATTTTTTCCTCTCTTTTCTTATGCATTAAGTTTTGCTTTCACTTTAGCGCTGAGATTACATTTTGACAAAATATATGACTTCTTTCATTATAATTAATGCATATTTAATTCAATGAGGCGTACGATTTATGGCCCGATATTATTATCATTATGATAAAAAAAATGCCAAAATAACTAATTTATGGCAAACCTATACAACTCGTTTGTTTACAGCAATGAATGCGGGCTTTATATCATAGAAAAACAATTGAGAAACGTTTTTGAAAAAAGTAGTGCAAAGCTAAATAAAGTTTATACCAAAATAATGTGGGCTCGCAATCAATTCAAGAATATATTCTCATTATTTATGCCGCAGAATATATATCACAGAATGCGGAGAATATTCTGTAAACACACACCATATATATTACTCAGAAAAAATGACAAAATATTGGCATTGATGTGAACCGGATTATTGAGATATACTCTCATGAGAATCATTGTTAGCAAAGGTTTACATTCAATACATTCTAACTGTTTTTCTCATAGAGTTTTATGATTGAATGAATCGCCGCTTCTCTTCAAAAATCAATACAAAAACATCTCATAATAGTTGTGTAAGAATAGCGTATTTATCACTTTGAATACATAGTGGAGTAGGAAATACACGCAGAATATTCCCATTAACATTAGGGCTCAATTATTATATAATATAATTATTTTCTTACAATTTATACAAAAGTAATATTTTGTTTATCCATTGCTTTTACATAAAGAAATGTTTAACAACAAATATTTTTAAAGAATTCTAACAATTTTTGATGATTTGAAAAAAATCTAGCGATTCATTGAAAAGGTGTGATTAATGTCAATACAAAGTGATGTATATAAGTGTTGTCGGAAGAGTCTGGGGGTTGTATTACATACTTACAGGTTATTGGGGCTGAGAAATGGTGTGAATAATTGCAATAATAATGATGTGCTATTATATGTGCCAATAGTAGTGGCAAATAGTCTATTCTATGCACTCATTTCCAACACATGAGAGATGGTTTTGTGCCCTTTTTGTATATAATACCAGTTGTCTGTAATCCCATTGGCTCTGTCAGTCTCTCTCAACTCATCTCTCTCTCTCTCTCTCTCTCTAAATAAGGTCTCAATTATTTGATAACAGTCTCGGAAAGGGATTCGTGTCAACAGTCGATACAACTATTCATTTAATTTCTATTCTTTCTCTCTCTCTCTCTCTCTCTCTCTCTCTCGATCTGTGAATGAGTTAAAGAAAATCGAAGAAAAGAGCGCTGAAGTGCTGAGACAGACACGAAATATTTTTGCCAAAATTGCAAGTTTTGCATTAAATGTGAGAACAGCTCTCTCTTTATGTCCCTTTGCTTTACATTTTAGTCTCGTTATGAGATAAATGTCTTTCAAATAAATTATAAATTATATTCATTTCAATAATTCATAAAAATGTTTCGACAAAATAACTTACACTTTGTTTATCACGAACTCTAAGTTATTACCAGTATTTACTAAATTGTTGTTATGTTTTTTTGATGTGAACTTAATTTAAATAATCATTTGATGAAAAATAATTTCATTTAAGAATAGAAATTAAATAAATAGTTGTATCGACTGTTGACACGAATCCCTTTCCGAGACTGTTATCAGATAATTGAGACCTTATTTAAAGAGAGACTAAGCACTGGATGTTTAACAGCAAAAAAAAGGTTAAACAGAAAGCGATCGCAAATTCAATTGTTTAAAGTTGTGTCACATTATGTTTGCTCTCATCAATGAATGCAATGAAAGTCAACGAATCACACATTTCTTTGTTATTTAAGCTCACATTATATGAGTTTATGGTTTATCACTCATTCCCTCACTTTTTCCGTCTTTTATTCTCTCTCCCATTCTCTCTCATATGAGACAAAAATTAATAATTAGAAAAAATTGGAGAAATAATCAAATAAAGTACGAATCACTTTATATTGTCGATTATGTGATAGAGCCATTTTATATAACCGGAATATAAGAAACACTTTTTATTACAATGTTGTCATTTCTAATGAACGTGTTAAACAATACTTGATAATTACTTATACGAATTTTCACAATAACATGTTTGCATATTGACATGTTTAAATTGTGAGTTAATTTACATTAATTCAATTAAACACATATTATTATGTAAATATTTAATCAAATTTATATAAAATTGTTTTCTATTTGTCTGAGTCTTTATTATCTCATATAATATTACATAAAGTATTAATTTCCATGTTTTGCCACTAGTTTTCTCTTTCACTGATTGTCTTGTTTTTTGAAAATAATATTTCTGTCTCAAGAGTCTAAGAGTCTGTCATTTATATTACATCACAATTGTATGTATTGTTCATAAAAAGGACAGAAACATCATTTGATTGCACAGATGTGTTAAATGTATCTATAATTCAGTTATGTTTAGCGCATATATTAAGAGTGTTAATGCGATAATTAAATTAATTTAAAACATTTCTAGACATAAACAAAAATATTAATTATGTTAAAGTAAATAACAATACATCTTTTATGTAATATTGAGATTAACGCCAAAATAAATAACTAGAAAAATATAACAAAAATTTAGATTTAAATACTAAAAGTTTGTTTTTCAATTGCCCTTGTTAACAGGAACAGAGATGTCGATTTGCTCAAGGTCTTTGCGAAGACTTACGGAGGCGAGTGTCCCACTATATTAGTGATTATATTGACGGTAAGTTTTGTCGAGTTATCAAATTTAAGTCATTTCATTGATTTGATTACATCTTCTCTACACTTAAATCCAATCATTTTATTTTATTTACGATTTTTTTTGTTTCATTAATTCATTTATAAAAATGTTTTATTTTGTTTGTGTGTTTTGTTTTCAATTATGGAAACAGTGTTTTCACTGATTGTTTAAACATTTCTATTAACAAATGAAATATTTTCATTATTTATTGTATACAATATCTATTGAATCATTCATTTCCACTTAAATTCATTAAATTCACAATCAATGGAAATCTCGCAAACAAAATGAAATTAGTTTATAAATATTTAATCCATTATTTTTATATTAAATACTTTGGTTTTGTAGCTGTGAAATATTTATTACTAACCATTTTTATTACTTTAATAGTTATAATTAAATTAATGAAATTTTTTCATCTAGTTTTTACTTCTCAATTGAAATTATGATATCAGTTGTGATTAACAATAATTTATTGAAAGGCAAACTAATATTTTTTCTCTCTTTTCTTATCATTTTGTTTTATTATATATTTTTTGCGTTGAGTTAAACACACATCTGATTGTTGTGTAAGAAATGATGAAAAGTATAATCTCTATAATTCTTAAGTTAGTTTTCTTTATGAAATTAAATGTCAAAAGAAATAATGTTTTCTATTATTTATTTGAGACCATAATTCCCAATGAAATGTATGATATGTTTCGAGAGGTGTGTTCTCTCGTATAGAAAATGCAGTGAATTTTGTGTTTCAAATAAATAAATCCCCGAAACCTTTCGTTCCGTAACCAATCTTATAGACATTTTGTGTCCAAATCCATATCATTTTCACAGTTTCTTATATTTGTTGCCTCTTTTTGCACATCATTTTTAGTTATATCATTTTTTTGCGTCAAATGTTAACTTAAAATATTATATTTTCATTAATTTGATAAATATATCAATTCATTCAATGTATCAATAAATGAAATGATATAATTATATAAGAGTTTATACAAAAAATATTGCCGACAATAGAAATATCAAATTAATGTCAATTTATAGCTACTAATAATCATAAATATATTTTGTTAATACGAGTCTAATGAGTAAAACAGATTTATATCCGCTTTGATATACAATATTAAACACCAAATATTAAAGCAAATCATTTGTCAGACCATAAGTCATACGTTTGTCTTTACGGCTCGAATGGCTTTTCTTATTAACTATTGGATTGTAATTGAAAGGGACGGACGGCGAGGGATACCGAAGTGTAGAGAAGCAAATCAATAATTACTTAATGATTAATGATTTAATTAGTTTACTTTACACTACTATACAATCCTTACACAATATATTATATCTAATACCAAACATATATCTCTATATTTCTCTAATACAGGTTTTGTGGGCCGTAAGACAATCCACAAAACGATATCAACCATTTTCTTTCTATACTTCGCCTGCATTTTACCCACAATTGCTTTTGGAGTTCTCAACGACAATAACACGTCGGGAAAAATCGGTATATTTTTTGTTGTGTTAAACATTCAATTATATATACCGTATAAATAGTCATTCATTTTAATCTCATATTGATTTCTATCTCTCTTTCTTCGCCATCCAATTGTCTGTCCACTACTTTTGGGTGCATTTATTCGTTGCACTTATAGGTGGTAAGTATTACTCCATTAATGTATTAATCCCTTCATTACATACGATTAACACGATTTTTAAAAATACAATTTTTAAGTCCTATTCATAAGAGAGAAGTTTTCTCCACAACCTATTGTAATACAAAATACACAACATTTCCATTAAAACTCATTATATTCTCAATTAAATAAAGTATTGAATTAAAAACTTGTTTAGCAAAAACTTCTCGATAAGACTCGACATTTATTATAGGAATAGCTATCGGTATATAATTATTATGTAATTATTAGAAAAAATATATCATATATTGATATAGATTTGTACGAAGCGAGTAGATTGAGAGAAACGATGGAAACTAATCCCACGGCTTATGTTTTGATCAAATAAATGTTTGGATTCAAAACATGATGTTTTCTACAAAATATAGGACTTTTGATAGCATTTTGCTTATGAGCTCCAAAAACGTTGTTTTCAAAAACAAAATAACAAACTAATCGTTGCACTAATTAAAGCATCAATTATTTTGTACCTTATTTTAATGTATCTCTTGTTTTATGTTAACAGATATACGAAAGGCCATTATTGGCCAAACAATAGGTGGTCTTTCATTTGCATTCTTAGGGGGGCAGCCGTTAGTTATAATCATGACCACAGCTCCCATCTGTTTATACATCAAAGGTATGGTCGCAACCAAAACACAGAATCGCTTTTGTGTTTCAATATTTATGAAATCAATTCATTACAACATGTATTAACGCGTTTCGTTTCGTTCGCCAGTGATATATAACATATGTGAAGATTTTCAGCTCGATTTTTACGCAATGTATGCATGCGTTGGGTTGTGGAACACATTCTTCCTTGTCTTATATGCCGTCTTTGATGTCTCGAGATTAATGAAGTGGTGCACGAGGTCTGTACCGGTGGTCACTCTACCTCTCCATTACAATTACATTCATACTATTTATCACATAATCTCCTTCCCATCGACTGTAAATGAAAGGCATATATTTTACATACACTTCACTGATATTAGTTTTTGACAATATTGATCTTTAAAACACTTCAAAGTTATACTCAACGCAATCACTCGTCAAAGAATTTTTGGTGAATCCAAAATCTCGTTTAAAGTCTGTGAGAATATTTTGACCAAAAAATATAGTCTTTTATAAATAGGAAAATATTTGATTTGCATATGATTTATATTTATAAGAATAAAAGGGTTTTCATAAGAAATATATTATTCCTTTTGAAATCATATAGAAAACTGTATTTTCTAGTCATTTGTAATTTCTCGGTAAGATTTTTTTGCGATATATGTTTTTATTCGTATATATACTGTGACATGAGATTATGTCTGGGAACTGCTTATATGTATGGTTTGTGTGATAATTTCCCAGAGATATCAATATAAAGTCAGTCAAATGCACTGTTGATTTCTCGACTCATAAGCCATCAACAAAATGAATTGAAAACAAAAAATAATTTCATTTATTCTTCTCCTCCTTTAAAGTTCATTAAAATTTTGATTACAAAATGAAATGTTTTTATATGTTATGTATTTTGAAAATAAAACTTTGCAATTTAATGGAAATGTTTTCATGTGTTATAGATTAGCTTTCAAACAAATAATATACGACACAATATATTATATAATGTACTCTACAGTACAGTACATAAGTTATAATGTATTACTTTTATAACTTATATATATATATATTCTGTTACAATATATTCACTTTAGGGTATGAATTCACTGACAGTGTGTTTTAATACAAACTTTTAGATATTGAATGCAGTAATAAAAGAGATTTTAAATATTCAGATTAGAAATATATTTATAATAAAATATTTTATACAATTTATTGCTTAATATTTATGTTTATAATGCTTTAAATATATTTTATTATTTGTTTTTAAAATATAATTAACATTTCATTATTGTCATCAATTCTGCCGTTAGATAAAGGATTTTCTCAACAATCTTTACAAATTATTATTTACTTATTTTTATATATTATTTTTGTGAGTTATAAACGAAAAGTGGGTTAAATTTTCACACATATTATGATTTCATAATTATGTGATCACTATATGGAGTGTTTCTATCAGTACTTCACTCACGTTATGTGACGGCAAGTCATTAGATAAGCAAATATTAGATCCATATATCCGTATATATTGTGATGAAAACGCCGGAAGCGATAAATTAATTTTTAAAGCGAATTGCATTTAGAAAATGATTGAAATTTGATTATTTATTATTTGCCTTAAAAATGACATAAAATTTACTAAATTATATGGACTTTTGAGTTGTTATGAAAATATTGGTAAAACTTGTTGATATTGCAGTTTAAATAAATATTTTTATATCTCTTGTCTAATTGCTTAATTGATTTATTCATGTTTTATACATTAAAACATATAATCATTAAAAATTAGATATTTATTACTGTATTATATAATTAATATGTTTTAACGTAAATTAAAAATCTTTGTTGAAATACAATATTTTAGTCAAATATCCATTTATAATATTAAACGACGGGTTATTCACTTGTATTGTATTTTATATTAGACTATATTTTTTAATATTCAAAATATGAAACACAGCTTTGAGTTCCCAATAAGTTTTGCCGTTTAATAAATATAAGCAAACTTTATATGGGAGATGAAAAATTTTCTATACAAAATACGGGCGGATTATGTATTAGATTTACAGTGCACTCACTGTACGACACTTTACAGCACTACAGAATATTCGTGTGCATTATATGTACAGTATATGCCTTTCACTTGATATTTATCTATATATTATATATACAATATATTTTTCTAATATATCTATAAAAGTGTCATAAAATTAACTCCTCTTTGAAACACAGGTCGACGGAAGAGATATTCTCACTATTCATAAGTATAGCCTTTGTTGTGGATGCAGGACGTGATGCCGTTAAGAGTAAGTCACTTAAGCCCATAAATGACACGTTTTATTCCTAACGCCATATTCAACACATACAACACTACACAACACTATCGCCTATGAAAGCGAAATGCGCTTTAAATGTTACACAAGTATTGCATATTTCGCTATATTTTAGTGATTATTGTTATGGCTTTTCAATCATACAATTAATGCCAATCGTTTGAATAAACTTAACACTATTAAGTATTATCTGCTATATTATTGTCTAAACGCTCATGGTTATATAAATTGCCATCAATGACAGGGATATCGTTGGTGTGTGTATTACAGTGTTATAAGACTGACATTAAATTTTATTTTCCACTAAAATGTGATGTAAAACATTGAGCCAAATGTATTCACTTTTCAGTATAAGACTCGAGAATATACTTACAATTTAGCGATAAATGTATTTTGAATTGACATTAGAAGTAAAAAAAAGTGCACACACTTTATAATGCTGTGCAAAATGTGGTGTAAATTTGTAGCGAAATATACTTTTTATATTATATTTGAAGTTTTTGATAAAATTTCATTTTAAGGCTTATTTTATTAGAAGTAAGCGCTGTCACCAAATACTGGTATAAATATCGATGGGATTAACTATTGAGCCATTTATTTGATTCAATTATTATAACACAAATAATATATAATATTTTTAGCTTCAAATATACTTTTAATATGATATTTAAAACCTAATATTGGATTAAAATAAACACTGAATACAAAAAATAAACTTAAAGTAATAAGAGTTTTATATAAAAACTAAATGTTTTTTAAAAAAAAGTAAACGATA